AGGCCCGCGTACCGCAAATAAATAAATAAATAAATAGAAACTGAAGGAATTGAAAGGAACACAGTTGAAGAACAGAAACTTTGAGCCACTGAAAATGAGTTTTTAAATATGAAGCCATCTCTAGGCTTAAGCTATGATAGAACACTTATGCTTTGGAGACCATAATATTGTCCAAAACCTAGTGTCCTAAAACAAGTGAATGTTTAAAAATTGTATTTCTCTGATTATCTTTACCAGGATATAAATGCATCTGCAAAATTCTGCATCATTTTTCCTTTATTTTACTTTTAAAACTGTGAAGATATTCATTATATTGATAAGATTTCATGATATTTTAAAACAGTTTTATTCAGGTATAATTTACATATCATAAAGTTCACTCATTTTAATTGTACAGTTCAATTTTTTTATTGAGTTGTAAAGGTTCTTTATATATTATGAATACAGGTCTCCAGATATAGGTTCTCCTATTTATGATTTGCAAATATTTTTCCCATCCTGTGGATTCTTTTCACTTTCTTGAAAGTATTATTTGCAGCACAAGAGTTTAAATTTTGAAGTAATCTAATTTATCTGTATTTTCCTTTGTCTTTGGTACCATGATATTTTAATATTAGATAAATAATTTATGCCTCTACTGAAGGAAAAACATGCTTGATTTGCTTGACTTCTTAATGTAACTTAACTCACTGATGTTTTCCGAATTTTCACTTCCAGCTCATTTCTGAGAAATAATCAAGGAACTCTACTCATTTTTAAAATTTTCAGGAATAATGGAAGAACAGATGAATGATTAGTTCTTGGCAGAATGAAATAAGCTTCTTTGTTCCTAGAAATATCCAGTAGAGTATGGATCTCTGACTAGTATAACTAAAAACATATTCTTTCCCAGACTTAAAAAAAAAATACGTGTAAGATAACATCTCTGTGTGTCTGTGCCTGTGTGTTAGGTGCATCTGTGTCTGTGAGCACATGCCTCTGTGTGTACATATGTACCTGTATATATCAATATGTCTTTGTACATCTCTTTGTGCATGTGTATGTATAAGATACTTACTCTTTTGTATGCCAGTTCCTAATTGGACATTGTGGCTTAGGTATTGGAGTGCAGAAAATAAAGGAAACAAATAAGATTTTTCTGTTTTCATTCTCCATCTGCTCTTTAAAATCCTAGGTTTGCTAAAGGGTGGGAAGAAGAGAGCTGGAAAATGGAAAGAGTTTAAAGGAGACCCTGCTGAATTTGCAAACACTAGGCCAGGGCCAAGGCCACTTACATAGCAACTGAGGTATATTATATACCTCATATCACTAGACTCCCTTTCTAGACAACTAAGCAAATATTAGAGTTTCCAGTGGCCTACTCCAATTGTAATAATAAGATGCAGGTTTCATTTTATGGTACAAAAATAGTATAATAAGGCAAGGCTTAATTTCAGAACTTTTAGAACCTGAATTTTAGGCTACTTTAAAAATTCAATATAAGAAAAACATCAGGAAAAATGCTTTTATGCTTCAAAAGTTAACAACTATGTCTCTTGAAAAATTTTAGTGTTTCTAACAAGTCTGGTTCGGATAGCATGACATCAAAGTGGATTCACTATATTTAAGAAATCATACATTACTGTGGTGTTAGCAAAGGATGTATGTCTGGTCCTTTATTCCAGGGATCAAAGTGGAAAGACTTGTAGTTTGTTATCTTAAACTCTTCTTTTTATGTCCAGATAAGCTTTCAAAGCCTTGTTAAATCAAGTAGCCATTGGTGTTTATGTAAATTGTAATCCAAATTTATTAAGGCTCTTGGTATAACTAAAGTTTTTGACAGAAGTAGATAAAGTAGGAATCATTTGTATTCTGATTGTATTTTTAAACCTTTTCAGTTTTTTTCCCCTACACTTACTGAGGCTCTCCTATATCCTATCAAGACTTTCATTAAATTTTATATATCTGTTTATCTACAAATATATAATTGCCATGAAAAGGAAAGGAGTGTGACTTTTGATATCTGAAAAATGAGTAGAATTTAGTGGGTGGAGAGAGGTAAGTGTTGGAGGTGGAGAGTAGATGCTCATGGAAGAGGCCTTGTAGCAGAAGGGACCATAGGAAGAATGAAGAGAGTCAGTATGGCTAGAGCTCAAAGAGTTAGTAGGTGATGAGGCAGGGACTAGACTATGTAGAACCTTAGCAACGTGTTGATAAGGGTAAGAACACTAAGAAACTATTTAAGAGTATTAAGCAAGGGTAAAAAGATTAGATTTGTGTTTTTAAAAGATCCCCGTGACTCCACACCAGTGTAGAAAACAAATCAGAGGGTTGGAAGAGAAAATGGAAATGTGGGTCAACCAGAGAGTAAGGCCATTGCAGTAGTTCCTCCAGGAGATGCAGTTGATTGGGTTAATAATGAGGAAAATGGGCAAATTAGAGAAATATTTAGAAGGTAAAATCAAAGGAAAATGGTGATGGATTGAATAGTGGGGGTTGATAGAGAGGTGGTATGAGGATGATTTCCTGAGTTTCTAGGGCTTGTGGAAATAGGGGAACTGTAGTGCTGTGTACTCGGATAGGGAATGCTGTAAGAGGATCTTTCGGGGAGGACGTTAGGGGGACTCATGAGTTTGGTTTGACACATTGTTTGAGGCACTTTTGAGACATCCATGTTATAAGGGTAAATTGACTTGACTGTGGAAGATATGGGTCTGGAGCTTAGAGATCTGGGCTACAGCTAGAGATATCACAGTCATTTGCATATAGAGTATCTAGTGCGAAAGAAAGTGTAGATAAGAAGAGAAGAGGGCCCATAATTAAGTCTTGAGGAACTCCAACAATTATCACCAGCTAAAGGGGATTGAACCTGTAAAGAAGATTGACGAGTAGCCAAAGAGATGGGAAGAAAATCAGGAAAGCTAAGGGGAGACAGTTTGAAGGAGAGCATGATCAACAGTGTTGGATGCTGCTGAAAAATGACAAGTAAAATGAACAAGGAATTTGGTTTTAGCAACATGGAAGTTTTTCTTGATTTTAGCAAGAGAAGTTTCTACGGAATGATGGAACAGAAGCCAGATTGGGGTGAGTTAAGGAGTAAATGGAAGGAAGGAAAATAGAAATGGCTATATAAACTTCAAAAAGAAGCCAGATAGGCTGTAGCTGGAGGAAGATGAGGGATAAGGAAATTTTACATTTAAGATAGGAAGAACATTAGTATTTTTAAAACTTGTGGATAGAAGAGAAATAATATATAGGGTAAAATTCCCCAGAGGGTGGATATATATTAGAGGAAAAGAGGGGGTATAGGTAAGTACATGTCAAAGGAATGGCTTTAACAGATTTATACCTTATTTATTGTAACAAGTGGGAAGGAGGAGAGAATGAATGCAGATGTATGAAAGTTTGCTAGCAAGATACTGAGGGATCTCTGCTTAGAGAAGCTTTTTTTACTTTTTCTCCCTAAGAAAGAGGTGAAGTCATTTGCCGAAAGTGAAGAGAAATGTAGCTGAGGTTTAAGGCAAAAGAAAGCTAGGAGGTTTGAGGATTTTGGAGAGGGTTTGACATAGTTGTGGTACTTGGGAAAATTAATTAAACAGAGAAATGTCATAAAAGTGATGGCAGTGATAAAAGCCTATTTGAAATTGGTGATTACGAATTTATGATGCAACCTATCTACCTTGTCAAATGACTTTCTCCAGCAGCTTTGGCTACTTGAGTACAAAACTGAGAGTTCCTTAAGTGGATTAGGGTAGAGAGGGAAAGGGAGTAAGTAAGCAGTGGTATGCTGGTAAATGTTTAACAACCAGTTCTTAAAAAAAAAAAAAAAGTCTGATTTGTTTGTAATTTTTGCTGATATCCATGGTTTAAAAACCCTCTCTGTGGCCAGTTTCAGAGTATCAACCTGACATTACTGAATGCGGAATTGAAAAGAGATGAGGAATAGCAAACCTTTTCCACCACTCGGATATGATAGACATTTATACCTCAAAAGCATAGATAGTAGTAAAATGTAAAATAAAATTAAAAATGTAAAATAATTAGGAAGTGATGCCTTTTGAGTAATCGTTACCTATATTTTAAATATACTTAATTTGTAAGTTTATTTAAGTTAAATTTTAATGATCACTGTTTAATAATCAGTGCTATTTAACAAATAATCCTTAAAATGTAACAATAATCTCTAAACATTAGCCAGCTCCATCACTCAGGTACGGTAGAATGTGGTAAGTGATATTATGGAATGGTGCACAGAATGCTGTCATACAAAGGGAGTAGCATCTAACGAGGTTATAGAGGTCCAGAAAGGTTTCCTGGATTTGATGATGCTTGAGCTGAGACTTGTAGAATGAGTAAGAGCTAACCAGATAAGAGATGGGTGATGGGAAGGAGGATTAGCATATGTGAAGGCATGGAAATTTAATATAGTTGTACATTCAGAAATAAAATGTTTTTCATTTGTGAGACATTGGAGCAGGAGAGAAATAAGTTATCTACCTTCCTTAGGATATTTTACATAGAGATGGAAGTACAAAAGATTCAGAACATTTCCAAATGGAATGTTTTGATTGCAAAGGAATTATTAGGAGTTATTGAAGCTTGCCTGAGAAAAATAATGCATACAAAAGAAGTGTGTTTACCTAATGTATATCGGTAGCATCTAACAAAATGTAACAATTTCCAGAATTCAGATACATTTTAGAGTACAGCCAAAAACTGGTATATAAGATAATCAGAGAAAATAAATTTTTAGACTCCAATGTTAACTAGACTATGTCTTCATTTCATTATGGAAGAAAATTAACATCTCTTGCTCTAAAAATTTATGGTGACTCAGAATTTGTAAAGGCATTCACATCATCAAACAAAACCTTAAGGTTTTATACTATATGGATGGTGGCTGTGTCACTTTTTTCCATTTGACTACTGTGCTGTTTACTTATTATGGAGAAAGTTGGTGACTTCTCTTTTAATTTTGTTTTCCAATTTGTTCTGCTCTTGTGTGTGCTCTTTACCCCTAGCTACAAGACATTTTTACCAAAATGTGTTCGAGCAAAGATCCAAGACTATCATATTTTGACAAGGAAGCGAATAAGGTACAGATTTCGCAGATTTATTGAGCAATTCAGCCATTGCAAAGCCACTGCCAGAAACTTGAAACTTAAGTATCTTATAAATCTGGAAACTCTTCAGTCTGCCTTCTACACAGAGCAATTTGAAGTAAAAGAACCTGGAAGAGGTCCTTCAGGTGAGGAGATTTTTGCAACCATTATAATAACTGGAAACGGTGGAATTCAGTGGTCAAGAGGGAAACATAAAGAAAGTGAGACACTGACAGAACAGGTAATCCTCAATGATATGTTCTCATTCTTTGTTAATTTAAGTAGAATGGCAGTAGAAGCAAAGTACTTTTAGTCATTTGAAACATGGTCTTGCACTTCTCTTCTCCCATTGATACAAATGGAAGTTTTTAATAACGTGATGCCAACAAGGTCATACCCTATTGTTCTTTTCCCATTGTTCTTAAATGGCATTTTATTTAATTTTTTATGACTAAATAATTAGTAATGGTGTTCTTGTAGTTTCACTCTTGAATTCTAAGAGTGATGTTTAAGGTAGTTTTGCTTCCTTTTTTCCTTTTACTATTATTGATAGTATGAAGCACAATCATGAAATTTAATTAGTTCAAAAAGATTAATTTTCATTGATTTTATGATGTATACTTGTTAAATAATTTAGTTTTTGTTTGCATTACAAATTTTAAGTTTGTTCATATCTATGTGGTTCTTAGGATGTTATCTGATATATATATATTTTTTATCTTCATTCTTTGGTAAACTCAATTTTCTGGCAATGGTTTCTATTAATGTTGATTGGATTGAAGGGTACTATAGCACTCTTTAGATTCCTGGCACCCTTTAATGCTCTCATTTTTAAGTGAAAGCAAGATACAGTGTAGTTTTAGGGTTACATTATTGGGGGAGAGAATCCCATTTAATGCTTAATCTATTGGTATCAATATTTTTTAAAAAGAATTTGGAATGAAATCTCCTTCATAAGAGTCTTGTTTTAAAATGGCTCCATAAATTCTACCTGTTTTTAATATCAACTGCTCTTAATTACAGGATTTACAGTTATATTGTGATTTTCCTGATATTATTGATGTCAGTATTAAACAAGCAAACCAAGAAGGCTCAAATGAAAGCAGAATTGTAACTATTCATAAGCAAGATGGTAAAAGTCTAGTAAGTTTGCTTTATCATTAATAATGGTTATGTCTTACAGTTGTCAGAAATAAGTATTTCAGAATCTTAATACCAAAGTTACTTTCTTGTAGGGATGTTGATTATAGTTTTAAATAGAGCTGTAAACATAAACAACAATTTAGTAAGCTTTTTGATTACATCTATCTTTTTGTATCACTACCAACACTATCTTCCCGTAGACTATCTTGTACATTAATGTATTTTTCAGTCATTTTCATAATTAGAAAAAGCACCAGTTACCTCCTGCCCTCTCCTCCCCCACCCCCAGCCTCAATTGTGCTAGTTCCCTGTTGTAATGCTCATTCCTCACTACAGTCAACCCTCTGTATCTGTGGGTTCCATATCCACAGATTCAACCAACCGCAGATTGAAAATATTCAGGAAAAAAAATTCCAGAAAGTTCCAAAAAGCAAAACTTGAATTTACTATGTACAGGCAACTATTTGCATAGCATTTACATTGAACTTACAACTATTCATATAGCATTTACATTATATTAGGTATTATAAGTAATCTAGAGATGATTTAAAGTATATGGGAGGATGTAAGTAGGTTTTATGCAGATAATATGTCATTTTATATAAGAGACTTAAGGATCCACGGATTTCGGTATCTGTGGAGGGAGAGATAGATACAGAGGGATGGAGGAACAACTGTATAATCTTTTTTACCAATAGAGATGTACGTAATTCTGGTCATACCACCTCTTTATATAACAAAATGTAAACCAATCCCAAGTGATCCCTACCCAAACTGTGAGACATGTTTGACTCTAAAAGATTAACCCCTTCTCTTTTTTAAAATAGCTTCAGAGGGAATTCCCTGGCAGTCCATGGTTAGGACTCTGTGCTTCCACTGCAGGGGGCATGGGTTCAATACCTGGTTGGGGAACTAAGATGCCCCATGCTGCATGGCGTAGCCAAAAAAAAATAATAAAATAAAACAGAATAGCTTCAGACACCCCACTTACTTTAATTGAAAGGGAAGAAATGAATTCCTTTATACTCTGCTCTTAAATTGCTTATTTTTCTGGCTCTGTTTTCTTTCTAACTCAGATATTTCTTGTACTTGGGGCTTAAACGTCATATTAATGTTATTTGTTTATTTAACTTAAGTATCTACGTGACTTACCTACCAGGCCATTTCAGGGTTTTATGACCAAAATTATAAAACTTGCAACTCACTTTCGTCAGCATGCCTTCCTTTTCTTAGGTATTAATCCTTTGTTGTACAGGTTTGCAGTTTGCCAAGTCTTTTAACATTGTTTATGGTATCTTTTATAGTACCTATTTTTATGGCCTATTTGTGTTAGCTAGATACCTTTTGTAGTTCAGATACCTCCCACAGTTCTCTCCTTATTATAATTTTTGATATAAGTCCATACTCTGTGTTCTCATTGTGACTAAATATTGCTGAGCCAAGCATTATATCGTGATCACATGTCCATTCTTGTACATACAACTTTTTGTTTTTCTGGGAGTTGATCATACCTTCAACTTTTTTCAGTATTTCTAATTAATACAAACTTTTATATCAGATTAGATAGATTTATAATTAAGATGACTAGCACATTTGTCTAATAGGTGTATTGGAAAATACAATAAAATTATGGGTGTAGAGTGAACTATAACTAGAAAGGCATGATAAACTCATATTTGAGAGGGCCTTAAATATCGGACACAAGAATCTGTAATTCTCTTTGGGTAATTGGGAGCCTTAAAAGACATTTGAGCAATTTAGAAGAAACCAATTTAGAAGAATTATCTAACAACATGGAGTGAAAATAATTTTCTTCTTTTTCTTTTCTCCTCTTAGGAAATTGAACTTATGTCATTAAGAGAAGCTTTGTCTTTTGTGTCATTAATTGATGGATATTACAGGTTAACTGCAGATGCACATCATTATCTTTGTAAAGAAGTAGCACCTCCAATGGTGCTTGAAAATATACAAAGCAACTGTCATGGCCCAATTTCGTGAGTAATACAGACTTTAAAAGTAAAATTTTTTTAAAGTAAATGAGGTATTTACATAGAAGAGTTTACACAACAGAATGATATACCTAGGTTTAGGAAGTTTAGGAAAGAAATATTATCTTAATCTGACAGAAATTGTTTTTCTTTTAATGAAAGCCTATTTCCAATCAGACTACATAATAATTAGAATTATTTAGAATATAACTTACCATCTGTATCCCAATCTATAATACTAACTTGCTGTATAAGTTTGATATTTAGTTCCCTAGGTGTGTTTAATTAATTCTTCGGTGTTAATTTTTTTTAAAACCTTCCAATTTATGTTTCATTAATTTGGAAATACTGCAGAGGAGCCACAGTGCAAAATTTGATAATCATCATTATTTTTGGATAATCCATCTCCTTCTACTGAAAGCTTTGAACACAAAATGTATATGATGTCCATATTTCTAGACTAGTTCTGTGCAGTATGTCCCACAGTGATGAAAATGAAAATGTTCTATATCTGTGCTGTTTAATAATTGCTGCTAGCCACATGTGGCTATTTAGTATTTAAAATGTGGCTAGTGCAACTAAGGAACTGAATTTTTAATTTAATTTAATTTTAATAACTTTACATTTACAGTTGACCCTTAAACAACACAAGGTGTTAATCCACATATAATTTATAGTCCATCCTCTGTATCAGTGGTTCCTCTGCATCCTTGGATTCAAACAACCACAGACTGTGCAGTACTGTAATATTTACTATTGAAAAATATCTGCGAATAAGTGGACCCTTGCAGTTCAAACCCACGTTGTTCAAGGGTCAACTGTAAATAGCTTCATGTGGCTACTAGCTACCGTGTTGATACACACAGTTGTAAACCTTTACTTTAACACTGATAAAGCCAGCTATCATGCACAACATCTATTTACCCCAAGTCCTAGTTATCTTTCAGCCAGGATGTGCTTTATGATTGGCACCAGGTCTGAAGGACTTGAGCAGAAGAAACAATCTGGGATTTTGAGCATACGTTTTTTACCTTAACCTATCCTTAACTATTTGAGAAATCATGTCCTGACTGGTATTTAAGACTGATTTGGCCTATACCTAATGTCTGTTTAAGAAGTACGGTTGATATGAAAAAGTTGCACTACTTGAACATTCTATAATTTACATATTCAGTATTTTTTAAAATCCTACATCCATTCATTCATTATCCATTCATTCATTATCCATCCATCCATTCTTTCATTTATTTGTAGAACATTTACTGAGTACCTGATATGCACCAGGCACTGGTTTAGGTATGAGAAATACAGTAATAAGTGAAACAGATAACTCTTGCTTTCATGTAGATTGCATTTCTTTCAAGATGTGCAGCTTCAGTTAAACATGTAGCAAATTTTAAAAATTTGTAGTCTTTGTTGCTTGTCATGGGTCTTCTATTAGACTTTGGTATTATATTAAAGATGCACAAATTTTTATATTAGCAATTGCTGTGGTAGAAGAGACATGAGTGTTTTATGACATATTGTTTGTATAGTTTATGTTTTTTTTTTTGTGGTACACGGGCCTCTCACTGTTGTGGCCTCTCCCACTGTGGAGCACAGGCTCCGGACGCGCAGGCTCAGCGGCCATGGCTCACGGTCCCAGCCGCTCCGTGGCACGTGGGATCTTCCCGGACTGGGGCACGAACCCGTGTCCCCTGCATCAGCAGGCGGACTCTCAACCACTGCAACACCAGGGAAGCCCGAGATTATGGTTTTTAAAATACTAAATTTGAAATCAGAAGGCAGAAAATTCATATGAATGAATTGTTCTTTGTGATTTTGTATGTCTTATAATACCTTTTGTTTTTAAAGCAATATAATTGCCCCTTGAATCGGTTTGAATTTATTGCAAAATAGCTTGGTACTTTAATATTTTTCCTTGTAAGATTATTGATAAAAATATAAAGTAGAGGAGACTTCTAAAAATTCTGAGAGTTTTAGATTTGACTTTCGACTTTTAGATGACATTTTGGTCATAATGTCATGGTTCTTGCTACATTATCATGCAAATTACTTCTTTACCTTTAGAATGGATTTTGCCATCAGTAAACTGAAGAAAACTGGTAATCAGACTGGACTCTATGTACTTCGATGCAGTCCTAAGGACTTTAATAAATATTTTCTGACTTTTGCTGTTGAGGTTAGTATGTCACACTAATTAATGGTAACATCTTTATTTAGTGCATATAATTTCCCTTTTGTAATATCTACCATATTTCCTTTTTAATACTCAGAATGATGGCTTTGGATATGATGGCTTTGGATATGATAACTAGCAATTAAGTAAACTTAATTTACCTCAGCTATTCTTCATAAACAAGATATAATTTCTAGGACTTATGTTAAAAATTATTTGTAATATCTTACTATCTTCTGGAATTTGTTTTTTTGATGTTTGGGTGTTACCAGTTTGTTAACTTTCATCAAGTCTCTTGAAGTTTCTTTTTTCACAAAAATGCATATCTTTACCAAAACATGTAGAACTAAATAAATCAGAAGTAAACTTTCCTTTTACAGATAATGGTTATAGGATTAGAGTGAAATAGGGTAATAACAAAGAAAGAGACATTATTGCACTTTTAACTAGTGGTTTTCCAATATTAAGAATAATGATCTACAATGTATGTTTTAAATTTAAAACTGCAAGGAAATCTCACTGTTAATACAGATCATTTTGGATCTCAGCTAAGATTGTTTACTATCCAAAATTATCTAAAAAGATACTATCACTTATAAGGCAGTTTCATGGTATAAATCTTGAGAAACTTTGTAGCTGCTTACAAAATTTATCTTTTTAAAATTAGAGAATGTAAGGATTGTGTTTTTAATTTTTATAAAAAGCAGTCATCTTATATTTAGCATATGTAAAGTGGAGTAATTGTCCATAAATACAATACATAAAGTAGGTTGCTCCATGACTTTAATATTGTAAAATACTGATAATCTATCCTAATTTCACAGTATCTTTACTGTCATATATGACAGTCTATTATATTCAATTATCATATCAAAATGCATATATTTTTTATATTTACTGTATTTGCCCAGCATAATATGAGGGCTAAATATCAGGGAGTCTATGCTATAACTCTGCTTCAAGAAATTTATCTTTTGGAAAAACAAAAATAAAGTATACCAGAAAATACTAAATCGAGTATTGTTTATTACCCAGTATATCCAGTGTAAGCAAATATTGACAATAAGAGAAGGGATTACAATTATTAAGAAAGGTCCTTTGGAGTAGGAAGCACTTGAGACTGACTGGAGATAATGAGTCAATTTTGTAAAAATGGTTCTAAGTCAGTTGAATATGTTTATAAGAAGCAGTTCAAAAAATAGATGGTTGAGCAAGTTCATAATAGAGCACATAAGACAAACATTGAAAAACTGAAAAATATTAAAATTGCCATATTAGACATCATTAACAAATACAGTAGAGGCACAATAGGTAGTCACCTTTGCTTATGGAATGGGGTCAGAGTTAGGGAGGACTTCACAGAAAAAGTGGAAATTGAACTGAGTTTTAAGGATTGAATAAAAAGTACATTGCTCAAAAGGAAAGGATGTACATTCTGTAGAGAGACAGCATGTACAGTTATCAAGGCATGAAACGTCATGGCATTTGCTTGAAAAATTTTAGGTCACCTAATGTAGCTAGAGCATGGGTTGTATGTTGAGAGTGGCAGGAGTTGAGGTTGGGGATGGAGGCAGAAGCCAGCTTATGGAAGGCCTTATATGCTAAAATAGTTTTAGACTTTATTCTGTAAATGGTGGAATGCTGTTAAGGATGGTATTATTATTGTTTATTATTATTGCTTTCTTCCTTGCCTTTCAATAAAATAACTTTTAAGCCATTTCTGTAGGCTAGGCAGTTGTAATTAGATGCCTTTTTGAGGAACCAAACGCCTCTCTCACCTTATGCTGGTATTCATGGTTCAAATGTCTAAATGTTCTTTTGGTTGTTTTGTGATATCATTTTTGTCACAGTAATCACTATTATGACCGTTGAGATTTTTCCTTCCCTCTCTTTATAATTAAACTTACATAGAGAGAAAACGTCATTGAATATAAGCACTGTTTGATTACAAAAAATGAGAATGGAGAATACAACCTCACTGGTACTAAGAAGAACTTCAGTAATCTTAAAGATCTTTTGAATTGCTATCAGATGGAAACTGTTCGCTCAGACAGTATAATTTTCCAGTTTACTAAATGCTGTCCCCCAAAGCCAAAAGGTAAAATAGATTTCTAGTTATTTTTAAAATATTGGCCATGGATGGTGTATATGGTGGGAGCTATTTTCAGCATGTTGATTTCAAAAGAAATAGGAAAGAGGAAGCTCCAAAAACAAATTAATTTTTTCCTGGTATGTTGTACAGGCATCCTCTAATAGAATTGTTCAGTTTGGTTTGTGTTTTCTAGAAGTGACTTAAAGTTTTGTAATTCTAAAATGTACTTAAAAAAAATAATTTCATGGTATCAATAAGTCACTTATTTATTGAACTGAAAGACCTCAGTACCAAATTCTCATATGTTATTCTAAGTAAAAACTTTCAGATTCTTTTAGAATTTTAATTTCTTTTAAATTATCTTTTAAAATAAAAATAGTAAGGTTGGAAATCCTTTAAAGTAACAGGCATATTAAAATTATTATTAAAGTTCCTGAAAAGTTATACTAGTTAAGGAAGGGATTATAATTTTGAATATATAAAATAAGTGGTTAGAGTACATCAAAGTTCAATGAATAAACTCCTAAAATAATTTTCTATGAAAAAAAATGAACAATAAGAGGCTGTTAAGCATTTCTTGTACATAGAACACATTTTATTTTATCCCTTTGGAGCAATTTATATCCTCAGTGTGTTTTGATTTTATATATATATATATTTTTTCATTCATTCTGTCCTTTTTTTTAAACAGATAAATCAAACCTTCTAGTCTTCAGAACCAATGGTATTTCTGATGTACCAACCTCACCAACATTACAGAGGCATAATAATGTGAACCAAATGGTGTTCCACAAAATCAGAAATGAAGATCTGATATTTGTAAGTCATTAGATGCTGATTATTGTCTTTTTGTCTTTTTAAAACAACAACTGTTTTCTTCATTTTCTAACCCACATTACATTCATATGACATTTGGAACTCTTTTATTATAACCTATGTTATAAAAATTTTATAGCAGTTCACATATTTTTATTTCTTGTGAAAATGTGATACCGAACTTAAGTTAATTATTTTAAGAATGGAATTGTATTCTCTTTTCAGGAATTAAAAAAATTTTTAATAAATTAAAAATTAAAAGTCTTCCTCTAAAAAAGTATCTTAATTCTCAAGTTCTCAAGAAAGTAAGGGAAGTTCAAGGAAGGTACTGAAAACAAAGTAGTACATAAGAGATGATGTTTGGCCACAGAACATTTTGGGGGATCAGGATTACCAGGACCCTCACGTAAATACATCCTCAGTGAAAAATATTTGGATTGTGAAAAATTCACCTGCTAGCAAAAAGAGAAGAGTGTTGTATGTTTTAGTTGAGCTCTTAGTTATGAAAAAGTCTGTCCTGAGAATTTGTAATTATAAACGTTTGAGTTTGGGTTTCTTTATATCACCTGCATGGTTTGAGAAACCCTAAGCCAATAAATTAAATTAACAAGTGGTATTCCCCGAGTAACACCCTGTGGTGGTTGGCAGAGCAAATATAAAATCTTTTTGGAAGAATATACTCTTAATCTAGGCCACCGAAGATTCCCAGTTAAAATGACTACAAACATGAGCTTTTAATTGAAAATTTTAAAACATACAGAGAAATAATTCCGGATTAAGCAAGAGTCAGAAGACCGACAAATATCAAATTATACTTCAAGAGCTTCATATAACAGACTTTTCAGATAGAGATTATAAAATACATATATATATATATATATATATATGTGTGTGTGTGTGTGTATGTGTGTGTGTGTGTGTATATATATATATATATATATATATGTTTAAAAATAAAAAAGGAGTTGAAAACATGGGAAAAACCAAGACATCAAAACAGCCCAAAAAGATTTGGTGGGGGGGGGGAAGTATAGAAATGAAAAATACACTCATTGACATTAAAAAAATGAACAAATTAAAAAGCAGTTACTCATAGTTGAAGAGAAAACTAGTGAATTGAAAGTTAGATCTGAAAATTATTCAAAGGCAGCAGAGAGGGAGAAAGAAATGGAAGTTATGAAACAGAACTTAAGGGACATGGAGAGTAGAATGAGCAAAACCAACTAATGTCTGAGTTCCTTAAGGAGACAATAGATAGAATTATCCAGAATTATAAAGATATGAATCCTTATGTGAGTAACAAGAAGCAGAGAGTTGCCAGGTAACCTGACTAACGTTACAAAACTAATAATAATAGATTGCAGGCAGCCCTGCTTCAGAGTGCAGTCTTTCAACAATTATTCTGTAAAGATATGCAAGAAGTACTAGTGGATTTTTTAAGACTGTTTGTCATTGAACATATTTCCTTATTCCCACTTCTTTCTCCATCTTTATTCATTCTTTCTTTCCATTTTTTCTGTTAAAGCATGAAAGCCTTGGCCAAGGAACTTTTACCAAAATTTTTAAAGGTGTAAGAAGAGAAGTAGGAGACTATGGTCAACTGCATGAAACAGAAGTTCTTTTAAAAGTTCTGGATAAAGCACATAGAAACTATTCAGAGGTTTGTATATTCCTTTTGTAGTTCATGTAGTTTATGATATTTAAAGATATGCTCTCATATGTACACAACACATTCATGTATGCAGCTTTTCAAAATTGTAATTTTTATAAGTATATATGTCAAGAACCTTTCTGAGGATGTATTCTGGTGGGTCTAAAAAAATATGGAATTTTTTCATAATAACTAATTTCCAAACTAAATATTAAGCATTGTGTTATGTGTATTATTACATCTTTGTATATACTAAAGCAGTGGCTTTTAAATTTGGCTCCCCAGAGCTTCATGGGTTCCACAGGTTTCCTCTATAATTTCGCCTACTTAAAAAAAAGTTGAAAGGCAGTGTACGTGAGGAGCACTCTAGGTGAAATGTTGTTACCTCTGGGCATCATCCAAAGATGCTAGCCAACAGAAACCCAGCTGCCAGTTGCCAAAGTCCTTAGTATAGTAAGATATCACCAAACATGATGTAACAAACATTTATGATACTTAAAATGTCTTAAAGGATGTTAGTAGAAGATAATGTGAAACATAGAAGCCGAAGAGTTGTTCTAATCCAGAACACCACAGTGTTGGTGATTGTGATCTTCAACAGCCATACCCAGAAGTTCAAGGCAAAGTTTAGTTGAGTTGGAGTGATGTTAATACCATGCCAGTTTCCTGACATAGTTGTTACACTATTTTATCTGCACAGCGATCATTCTTAATTTTTTAGGAAGTGTTACTTGAAGCTCCCATCCATTTACTGCAGTCCCACATCACTGTCTTTGGTGTCTGTCTCTGTTCGTACCTCTGTTCTCTATTCTAGGTGCTATGGGTCTAAGCCTGTTAATCTTGCATCATTCATGTTGCTCTGTACCAACCACTATTGTTCTTTCACATTGCTGTCCGCTTGAACCAAGCTTACTCAAGGTTTTCCTGAGAATGAATTCTAACATCAAGGTTGATGGCAGTTGTAACTCCATCTGAAGGGACCAAAGCACATTGTAACCTTATCTATAGTCCTGCTAATAGGAGAAAGTGCATTTCTCTTATGGCAGAGAGAATCTTTCTGAATTATGAATGCTTTTAGACACAAAAAATAATTCTTTTGCATCTTTTGTATATTTTTCTTTTCCTTAGTCTTTCTTTGAAGCAGCAAGCATGATGAGCCAGCTTTCTCACAAACATCTGGTTTTAAATTATGGAGTATGTGTCTGTGGAGAGGAGAGTAAGTAAAACGACTGGCTTCCTTATGTTAATGTTATGCCTTTCTCAGAACATCCATTTTTATTTATATAGAAAATTCAATTTCAGATTAATAGATATCAATATAAACTATAACAGGAATTAAATATTGTTGAAACCAAAACCACTGTGGAACTGTTCAGTTATATCTTCTTATAAAGGAAACCAATGAATGAAATTAAAATGCAGTAAACAGTTTAATATGGCTTATGTTAAAATGCCAGAACAGTACAGTATTATAGTAAACAAAAGCAACCTTTTCTGTTAACCATAGCAATACAGATTATGGCTGGTTCAACATAACATTGTAATAACTGGCCATTTCAGTACAGATCTCTTTGAAATTATTAAGACAAAGCATATAAATGTTAGATTGAATTGTAATGGAACTGACTGAAATGATTGGATGTTGATATAGATATAATTTATGGCTAAATTTAAACTGTTCATAAAAACCCTCAAAAGTTTACATTCAGAAATTACTTATGTAATTAATTTCCCATTTTCCATTAGTAATGTGATTAAATATGCATCCATACTTATATAACATTTTTTCATGTTTTTGAAAGTTGATAGTCTTTTCAGAGGCAGTGGTTTTCAAATCTGTTCTGTAGAGGTATCTCAGGGGACTGATGAAATGGGAGTAAATCTAAATGCAGAGTGGAGAGTTCTGCCTCTCACCACCAACTAAAGTGGTTCTGTATTTCTCTTTTTTATTTATTGATGTTTCCCATAAATTTTCATCTAGGGGAAAAAAAGAATATACTTCTTTACAAAGTTTGAAAACAATGTTTTAGAGCAAATAATCCCAGATCTTACATTTGCTTTTATACTTATTTCATTGATTCTGTGATACCTTTTTTTCACATTAAAAATATCTGAAATTAGGAAGTGTGATATAATTGATGGCATTTCATAATTTAATTGGCAATTTTTAAAATTTTATGACACATAATAATGGGACATATGACAGTCAGTGGTATCTGTGAAATATAGTAGGTCTTACATGCCACATAAAAAAGTTTTACTAAGCTCTTGCTCATTGTAACTCTTAGATCTTTTTTTTGACACTTGCCCTGATGTAAATTTCCCTGCAGTCAGTTCTTTATTATTGACATGTTGACTGTTCTCCAAATTAACTATAGGCATAAAAACTTTCATAACATTTGTTTTAGTTACCCAGCAAGGTCCTAAGGTAGTCTTGTCACCAAAAGTTGTTGTATATCATATGAAAACTAATTTTAATATTAGATGAAGCGGAATCACAATTTGGGATTCAATCTACATGCATCTACATATTATTATACATAATGTACAATTATATATAAATTGTGTTTATATGTAATTGTTTAGACTTTACCTCTTTCTGTTGTGAATAAACTAAAACCCCAATATACATTTTATATAGCTGTTAACCTTTCTTTAAATTAGTGAATTTTACGTAGTTTAATCTCTTTACCTGTATCATCACATATAACTATAAATATAATTATAAAAGTTTAAAATTATATATATTTTACTGTACTGTACGTGAGCCTTATTATTATCATTATATTTTAATGCAGATATTCTGGTTCAGGAGTTTGTAAAATTTGGATCACTAGATATATATCTGAAAAAGAATAAAAATTCTATAAATATATTATGGAAACTTGAAGTGGCTAAACAGCTGGCATGGGCCATGCATTTTCTAGTAAGTAATTATTATATTCTTTTGTCAACTTACTGTTTTAGATTATGAAGCAATGTGAAAGGATCTTGACGTGGGACCAAGAAATAAATCTGTAAATGGATGCCGAGTCATTTAAAATAATCTGTGTTAGTTGATGAAAGGGATTATTTTAGGCGTATATTTATGTGAAATCAATTTTGAAAGAAATAGTTTTGTCATCCCATCAATCTCTTAGAACTGCTGATAGACAGTCTGTAGTTTGTGTATCTTGGCTTCAGAGAACTTAACGAAAAATTATCAAAAAAATGTTGTGCTAACTATGAATAGCAAAAAATCCCTGCAGAAAATACCTTGTTATGGTATTTGTGGGTAATTGGACATTATGTCCATTGAGAAAGCAGTTTTGCCAGAGAAGCAGAATACCAGAGGGCCAGCTAGTGATCAGATCCTTAAGAATGCACCTACTGAACAGAAACAGTATTTCTTGCTGTTAACTACCACCTACAAATATATACTATTTAAAATCTCAGCTTAATAAAGTGAACTGGCATTAAGTAGTTTTAAAAAGTATTCGTGGGACTTCCCTGGTGGCGCAGTGGTTGAGAACCCGCCTGCCAATGCAGGGAACATGGGTTCGATCCCTGGTCCAGGAAGAGCCCACATGCCCCGCGGAGCAGCTAAGCCCATGCCACACAACTACTGAGCCTGCGCTCTAGAGCCCGTGAGCCACAACTACTGAGCCCATGTGCCACAACTACTGAAACCTGTGCGCCTAGAGCCTGTGCTCTGCAACAAGAGAAGCCACCGCAATGAGAAGCCCACTTACTGCAATGAAGAGTAGCCCCCGCTCGCTGCAACTAGAGAAAAGCCTGCACGCAGCAACGAAGACCCAATGCAGCCAAAAATGAATAATAAATAAATAAATTATTTTTTTTTAAGTATTTGTTTCTTCGTGGGTATAGAGCATTGTTTCACTTAAAATGTAAAACACAAAGCACGGTGATGCCATAAAATTTCGTTTTATTTTCTCAAAGTGCGCCTCCAATTAATGTTTATTAATACTGTTTTCTTATTTTTACTTTTTAAATCCATTTTGGGGTCTTGGACATATTAAGTGCTCAAATTATTTGTGGATTAATATTTGAATGTATATGCATTTAACTTTAATAGGAAGAAAAAACCCTTATTCATGGGAATGTGTGCACCAAAAATATTCTTCTTATCAGAGAAGAAGACAGGAAGACAGGAAATCCTCCTTTCATCAAACTTAGTGATCCTGGCATTAGTATTACAGTTTTGCCAAAGGACAGTAAGTTCTACAAGGATCGAATTTAACTTTATTAAGCTTTGCTTAGAAAGAGGCCTAAAGATCAGACTGTTAATTTTTCTCAAATTCTATTTTATTGACATGTTCTTGATTAATAATAAAATTTAGTTACCATTTTTAGCAATCTAAATTAAGTTATAGTTACATCCTAGTCTCTGTTTCTCCTTTCTTATAAGCATGTTTCTATGTACTGTAAGATGATTTTTTTAAAACAGTGTTAATCCCTAATTATATATGGAATATTGGATTTTATCCAGTTTTATTGTGAAATTTTTAAGTATCATTCTTTGAGCCACAAGTAAATTCTTCTAAATTTTTCTTCTCTTTAGTCGTTAAATAGAAATTTGAGAAGATATATTATCAAGTTTGAATTTTTTATTTAGTTTAATTATTCAGCTAATTTATGACTTCTTAGAACTTTTGTGTTGATAACCTTCTCCTTAACAAAATTAATTAAAGTAAAAAATTCAGTCAGATAATTGAGAGGCATTTTTTTGATCCAAATAGTGTTGTAATTGTATTTCATTACATTAGCTAATTTCTCTAATTGAATGTCTAAACTTAGAATCCAAAGTTATCAACTTTTGTACACTGATGCATGGTTTCCTATTTCAGCCAGTAGTACTTAAACTTGGTGCCTTTATATGAAGTGAAGACAGAGACTGTAGGGCAGAAAATGTTATAGGATCTTAGTTAGATCTGATACTCAGGGGGACTTTACCCTTTGGAATGGGATGTGAAGAAAGAGAATATATATTCATATGGTGAAGGAGAAAGGACTCTGTACTCTCTTAATTATACAGCAAAAATTATTAACATATATAAGAATTTTTTAATTGTGGGAACTCTTTAACCATACTTTGTTCCTATCATTTGAAAGTTCTGCAGGAGAGAATACCATGGGTACCACCTGAATGCATTGAAAATCCTAAAAATCTAAATTTGGCAACAGACAAATGGAGTTTTGGTACCACTTTGTGGGAAATCTGCAGTGGAGGAGATAAGCCCCTGAGTGCTTTGGATTCTCAAAGAGTAAGTTCATGTAAACGGTGAAGTTGGAATTACCGTGTGATCCCTGATATTTTTTGCACATGATTTGATATTCTTTAGCCCATTTTATATAAAAAAGGTTGATACGGCATTTATAATTTATTATCAACATGTGGTTCTTTAATTATAGAAACTACAGTTTTATGAAAATAGGCACCAGCTTCCTGCACCAAAGTGGACAGAATTAGCAAATCTTATTAATAATTGTATGGATTACGAACCAGATTTTAGACCTTCTTTCAGAGCCATCATACGAGATCTTAATAGTTTGTTTACTCCAGGTACGTATTGATGGAGCAATCTTAATGAGTCTCCAGCTATCTTTCTATCTTTGTTATATTTAATAAATCCTTACTAATTTTGTAATCCCCTCTGGAAAGTTCCCTGATATCTTTTTGACCCTCTTAATTTCTTACGTTCATTTGACTTTTCCTACTTTATACATTTTCTGGTCTCACTGATTGTGAAGTATTTCCATTTTTAAAAAAGGCTTTTTCCCTTTTAATAACCTCATTTTAGTTTGCCAGTTAATGAGTAGTAAACTATAGAAGTTTATTTGACTTATTTGACTTTTTAAAAACAATTCTTTGTTTTTTAACTAGTTCTCATATATTCTGTAATTGATTAATTTTGTAAACATGAGGTAGATTTGTTTTTGTTTGTCCTCTCCTCCTTTAAAATACATAGCTAAATATACATGTGTCTGACCTATAAGTATTTCCTGTTCCAATATTATTTACTCTTCTCACCACAAAAATCGGCATATAATCTTACTTTATAACTATTAAAACTACCTATTTTGGAAAGTATTCATTTATCCTTTGCAAAAATCTTTACTGAAAACATGTTAGATTATGGTTATAATTCAAGGCTTCCATTAACATAATCAAAACTATTAGAGTTGCCCTGTATTGATTTGTGTTTAGTATTTCTAACTCATTCTGATTATTTTGGTCAGCTTGAATATGTATTATTTTAACCTAGAGAATGGATTTGCCAGGTTATGGTAGAAATATTCTTTATTTCTCCAGATTACGAACTATTAACAGAAAATGACATGTTACCTAATATGAGAATAGGTGCCTTAGGGTTTTCTGGTGCTTTTGAAGACCGAGACCCTACACAATTTGAAGAGAGACACTTGAAATTTCTACAGCAACTTGGCAAGGTAAGATGTCAGAAGATTTTTAAATAGTTGAAATATAATCGTAAAACATTTTATTTAGGGAAAAAAAGGCTTAAGAGATTCTCTAAAGTTCACTTTCCACAAAATTTTAAAGACTGTTTGTATAACCAACAAGGATCTACTCTATACCACAGGGAGCTCTGCTCAATATTATGTAACAAGCTAAATGGGAAAATAATTTGAAAAAGAACAGATACATGTATATGTATAACTGAATCACTTTACTCTACACCTGAAACTAACAAACATTGTTAATCAACTATACTCCAATATAAAATAAAAAGTTAAAACAAAGTGTTTGTAGAAAAAAGGTTTAGTTGTCAGATGTTGAAGAAATGCTGTGTTAAATAAACAGCTGTCTTTACTGAAGAACTTCTCAGAACCTTTAACATGTACTGTGCATTGAACATTTTCAAGAGATGGATAAATTAGGCAGTATTTTCCCCAATTAATTTGACCATGAGACTCTTGGTAGAGGGCGCTTTGGTTATGAGATACAGAAAGGAACAATTAATTAAGCCTCTCCACCGATGTCCTTTTTCAGTCATCTCAGAGAGAAATAATTAATCTGCTTGTTCAGAGTCTAGATGTTGACTGGACCATGTTTACTAGCAGACAGTCTCTCCCTGCTGAAAGGTCACACAGTCATGCATAGCCTGACATATTTTAAGTAAGACCAAGAAAACCTTAGTTCTTAGCAGGTCCAATCATAGTGGTAAAGCCCTCTTTCTTCCTCTAAGCTTGCTAGTATAGGGCTCTGTACCATGTAGCTTTATGAACTGGATTTTGGCTTGGATGTATTATGAAGGCCTCACTTAGGTATTGAATCTAAACTAAATGTTCTGATCCAGCTTTACCAGAGCTAAACATTGGGTGTTATATTATGTATTGGCTTAGTTATATTAATACCTTGCTGTCATTCCTGGTTTGTAAAATAGTCTCACGAATGTTTCAAAGTATGTAGCAATGACAAAAAAAAAAGTATGTATTTGGGTGTATTAGTTATCTATTGCTGTGCGACAGATCACCCTAAAACGTAACAGCTGAAAACAAAAAAGCATTTATTATCACACAGGTTAGGCGAGTCAGGAATCTGGGAGTAACTTAGCTGGGTGGTTATAGCTCAAGGTCTCTCACTAGACTGTAATCAAAGTGTCAGCCAGGTCTTGCAGTCTTCTCTGAAGGCTTGACTAGGGGAAGGCTTACTTCCAAGCTTACCACATGGCTATTGACAAGGCCTCAGAATATCTGCTTCCAAGCTCACTTACACGGGCCTCTCCACAGACTGCCTCACAACACGGGAGCTGAGAGCAAATACCCAAGACCGAAGCCATTGTGTTTTCATATCCTAATCTCAGGAGTGGCATCTTATCACTCCTGCCATATTCTGTTCATTAAAAATGAGTTAATAAATCCAGCCTACACTCAAGGGGAGGGGATTTTAAAAGAGCTTGAATGTCAGAATGTAGAGAACATTGGGAGATAATCACAGAAGCTGCCAACCACACAGGCTGAAATTGGCTTAAACAACAGACATTTATTTCTCGTAATTCTAGAGGCTGAAAAGTCTAAGATCAAGGTTCCGGTAGGGTTCAGTTTCTGATGAGGGCTCTTTTCTTGGCTTGCACATGACCATCTTCTCACTGTGTCCTTATATGGCAGAGAGAACTGGTGTCTCTTCCTCTTCTTATAAAGGCACCAGCCCTACTGGATGAAGGACTCACCCTTATGACCTTATTTAATCTTTATCACCTCTTCACAGGCCTTATCTCCAAATACACTCACATTCAGGGTTAGGACTTTATCATATGAATTTGGGGGGATGGGCATGGACATTCAATCTGTAACATACCCTTATTCCATATACCTCACTGACAGTGACATCAAAGGCTATATTGTGAAGAAGAAAAGTTCTTCCTGGAAGTTAGTGATAGAAATTTAGGAATTCCCTGGCATGTCCCTTGGCTTATCTTAAAAATTAATGTTAATGATTTGTTTAAATGCTTTTTTGAAGTTTTTATATTTCAGCCTGTAATTCCTTTTGAAGAAATTAAATATTTAAGTTTACTACTCACCTATTGAAATATTATCTCCTTTTCTTGTTCTGAAAGTTGTTTAATGTGAGTTTCGAGATACATCTTCTAGCTGCTGAAAATTGCCTGTATAATTTATTAGTACTTTTTCTAGAAAACTTGCGATTTCTATCTTAATGTGATGTATTATTTAGGGTAATTTTGGCAGTGTGGAGATGTGCCGGTATGACCCTCTACAAGACAACACTGGAGAGGTGGTGGCTGTGAAGAAGCTCCAGCACAGTACTGAAGAGCACCTCAGAGACTTTGAAAGGGAAATTGAAATCCTTAAATCCTTGCAACATGACAATATTGTAAAGTACAAGGGAGTGTGCTACAGTGCTGGTATGTTGCCCATTGATACCTTTTTTGAACTCAGGGTATGTCTTTGACATCCTGGGTAATATTGTAGAAACTTATAATGCCTCCAGATCTGGACTTAAAATATTCCAGTACCCAGAGAAAGAAGCATTCTGTATGACTGGAGATTGTACTTGGTGTTAGGAAGTCCTTGACTACTTGATTGATCATTCTCTTCACTGAGGATGGTGGTTACCATTCTTGCTTAAACTTACCAAGGGAATGTCATTTTTAAAGAAAGAAGTTTTCTGTGAAAATATTATTTTTTTAAATTAGATGCTTTTTATTCAGTATAGATGAAGAGAAAGGAAGTTTTCTCATCAGCTTATTTTGGTTTGCATAATGGGTTACAGAAGATTAAAACATAACTATTTTTAAAACTTCTATTCAAATCTTTTTGATTCAAAAAGTCATTGTTCTTGGGCTTCCCTGGTGGCGCAGTGGTTGAGAGTCCGCCTGCCGATGCAAGGGACACGGGTTCGTGCCCCGGTCCGGGAAGATCCCACATGCCGCAGAGCGGCTGGGCCTGTGAGCCATGGCCGCTGAGCCTGCACGTCCGGAGCATGTGCTCCGCAATGGGAAAGGCCACAACAGCGAGAGGCCCACATACTGCAAAAAAAAAAAAAAAAAAAGTCGTTGTTCTTAACTACTACATCACCTTTAATTTTATAATCAGGTTTTGTCATCTTAGACTCAGATTTTTTTTTTTATTAATGACTCCAGGACTTCCCTGATGGCACAGTGGTTGAGAATCCACCTGCCAGTGCAGGGGACGTGGGTTCAATACCTGGTCCAGGATGATCCCACATGCTGCGGAGCACCTAAACCCGTTTACCACAACTACTGAGCCTGTGCTTTAGAGTCCGTGAGCCACAACTACTGAGCCCACACACCACAACTACTGAAGCCTGCACACCTAAAGCCCGTGCTCCGCAACAAGAGAAGCCACCACAGTGAGAAGCCCATGCACTGCAACGAAGAGTAGCCCCCGCTCACTGCAACTAGAGAAAGCCCCTACGCAGCAATGAAGACCCAATGCAGCCAAAAAAAAAAAAACCTCCAGTCATGCTTTATTATTATTTTTTTTTTAGGTTGCACTGGGTGTTAGTTGCGGCTCCAGGGCTCCTTAGTTATGGCACACAGGCTCCTTAGTTGTGGCATGCTAACTCTTAATTGCAGCATGCATATGGGATCTAGTTCCCTGAGGGATCAAACCCGGGCCCCCTGCATTGGGAGTGTGGAATCTTATCCAGTGCACCACAAGGGAAGTCTCTTAGACTCAGATTTTATATATCTTTTAAGTCTTTTTTTTTTTTTTTTTGCGGTACGCGGGCCTCTCACTGTTGTGGCCTCTCCTGTTGCGGAGCACAGGCTCCGGACGCACAGGCTCAGCGGCCATGGCTCACGGGCCCAGCCGCTCCGCGGCATGTGGGATCTTCCCGGACCGGGGCACGAACCCGTGTCCCCTGCATTGGCAGGCGGACTCTCAACCACTGCGCTACCAGGGAAGCCCTTTATGTCATTTTTATACGGTTGTTTTCTAATAGTTCATCAGTAAAGTATAGCAGAGTAAAACGTTATGTTCTCATTTGTGTGTTAATAGGCCGGCGTAATCTAAGATTAATTATGGAATATTTACCATATGGAAGTTTACGAGACTATCTCCAAAAACATAAAGAACGGATAGATCATAAAAAACTTCTTCAGTACACATCTCAGATATGCAAGGTACCTAATATCCTGGCTGTTTGTTGTAGATGAAGAGAATATGTTGAAGTAATTATTAAGAAATCCTCTAAGGTTTTTCTTAGATAATTAAGGGAGTAGAAAGATACAAGACTATTTAAATTGTTTATGTTTATAAAGCTAGCTGAAAGAAAAATGTTATTTTATTCATAGGGTATGGAGTATCTTGGTACAAAAAGGTATATCCACAGGGATCTGGCAACGAGGAATATATTGGTGGAGAATGAAAACAGAGTTAAAATAGGAGATTTCGGCTTAACCAAAGTGTTGCCACAAGGCAAAGAATACTACAAAGTGAAAGAACCTGGTGAAAGTCCCATATTCTGGTGAGTATATTTTAGTATAGTAAAATGAAGTTTTAGAGCACAAACTTCAAACTTTATTTTTACTATTAATAGTTTGTCATTTATATATTTATAGTAATAATCAATGAAGTTATTTCCTATGTTTTCCTCTGGGAATTTTATGGTTTTAGGTCATACATTCAAGTCTTTAATCTATTTTGAGTTAATTTTTGTATGTGGTATAAAATAGTGGTCTAATTTCATTCTTTTGCACATGTCTGTCCAGTTTTCCCAACACCCTTTATTGAAGAGACTGTCCTTTCTCCATTGTATGTTCTTTGCTCCTTTATTGTAATTTAATTGTCCATATATATATGGGTTTATTTCTGGGCTCTCAATTCTGTTTGGTTGATCTGGGTGTCTGTTTTTATGCCAGTACCAACCTGTTTTGATCACTGTGGCTTTGTAGCATATCTTGAAATCAGGGAGCATGCTACCTCCAGCTTTGTTCTTCTTTCTCAAGGTTGTTCCCTTTCTCAAGGGATCTTTTGTGGTTTCGTACAAATTTTAGAATTTGTTCTAGTTCTGTGAAATATGTCGTTGGAATTTTGATAAGAATTGCATTAAATCTGTAGATTGCTTTGGGTAGTATGGACATTTTAACAATATTAAGTCTTCCAATCCATGAGCATGGACTGTCTTCCCATTTAATTGTGCCTTCTTTGATTTCTTTTATCAGTGTCTTAAACAGTTTTCACTGTACAGGTCATTCACCTCCTTGGTTGAATTTATTCCTAGATATTTTATTCTTTTTGATACAGTGGTAAATGGGATTGCTTTAATTTCTCTTTCTGTTAGTTTGCTATTAGTGTATAGAAATGTCACTGGCTTGTGTATATTGATTTTTTTGTTTTTGGTATCCTGTGACTTTACTGAATTTATTAGTTCTAAAAGTTTTGTTTTTTTAATTTTGTGGAGTCTTTAGGGTTTTCTCTATATAGTATAATGCCATCTGCAAAGAGTGACAGTTTTACTTCCTCCTTTCCAATTTGGATGCCTTTTCTTTCTTTTTCTTGCTTAATTGCTGTGACTAGAATTTCCAATACTGTGTTGAATAAAAGTGGTGAGAGTGGGCATCCTTGTCTTGTTTCTGATCTTAGAGGAAAGGCTTTCAGGTTTTCATTGTTGAGTATGATGTTAACTGTGGGTTTGTCATATATGGCCTTTATTATGTTGAGGTAGGTTCCCTCTATACCCACTTTGTTGAGAGTTTTTATCATAAGTGGATGTTAGAATCTTATCAGTTGCTTTTTCTGCATCTGTTGAGACAATCATATGGTATTTATCCTTCATTTTGTTCATGCAGATGTTGAACCATCCTTACAGCCTTGGAATAAATCCCACTTGATCATGGGATATGATCCTTTTGATGTATTGTTGAATTCAGTTTGCTAATATTTTGTTGAGGATTTTTGCATCTATATTCATCCAGGTATTGGCCTGTAATTTATTTTTTTGCGGTGTCCTTGTCTGGTTTTGGTATTAGGGTAATGTTGGCCTCATAACATGTTTAGATGTGTTCCCTCCTCTTCAGTTTTTTTGGAAGAATTGAGAAGGAAAAGTCTTGAATCTTATTTGAATGTTTGGAAGAATTCATCAGTGAAGCTGTCTGTTTCCTGGACTTGACGTTTGTTGGAAGTTTTTTGATTACTGACTCAGTCTCCTTACTATTCAGGACTATTCAGGCTTTCTATTTCTGTTTCTTCACGATTCAGTCCTGGTAGATTATGTGTTTCAAGGAATTTGTTCTTTCTGGGTTGTTCACTTTGTTGGCATATAATTGTTTGTGGTATTCTCTTATTATCCTTCGTATTTCTGTGGTATCAGTTGTGACTTGTCCTCTTTCGTTTCTAATTTTATTTATTTGAGCCCTCTCCTTTTTTTTCTTGGTTAGTCTAGCTAAAGACTTCTTGATTTGTTTATCTTCTCAGAGAACCAGCTCTTGGTTTTATTGATCTGTTCTATTCTATTGTCTTTTTAGTCTCTATTTCTGCCCTCATCTTATTATTTCCTTCCTTCTACTACCTTTGGGCTTTGGTCTTTTTCTAGTTCCTTTAGGTGCAAATTCAGGTTGTTTATTTGAGACTTTACTTGTTTCTTGAGGTAGGCCTGTATTGCTATGAACTTCCTTCCTAGAACCACTTTTGCTGCATTCCATAGATTTTGGTGTGCTTTATTTTTGTTTTTATTTGTCCCTAGGCTTTTTTTCTCCTTTGATTTCTTCATTGACCCATTAGTTGTTTAGTCGCATGTTGTTTTTTTGTGGTTTTCCAGTTTTCTTATTGTGATTCCTAGTTTCATACCATTATAGTTGGAAAACATGCTTGATATGATTTCAGTCTTCTTGAATTACTGGGACATGTTGTGGGCTAACACATGATCTATCCTGGAGAATGTTCCATGTGTACCTTAGAAGAATGTGTATTCTGCTGCTTCTGGATAGAGTATTCTGAACATATCTGTGAACTCCATCTTATCTAATGTGTCATTTAAGGCCAAATGTTTCCTTTTTGATTGATTTTTTTGTGAATTATCTATCCATTGCTGTAAGCGGGGTGTTAAAATCCCCTACTATTATTATACTGCTTTTAATTTCTCCCTTTAGGGCCAGTAATATTTGCTTTATATATTTTGGTGTTCCTACGTAGTGTGCATATATATTTATAAATGTTTTATCTTCTTGCTGGATTGACCCCTTTATCATTGTATAGTGCCTTTCTTTATCTTTTATTACAGGCTTTGTTTTAAAGTCTGTTTTATCTGCTGTGAGTATAGCTACACCAGCTTTCTTTTCATTACTTTTTCCTCACATCCAGTCTGTGTATGTCTTTACTTCTGAAATAAATCTCTAGGCAGCATATAGATGGGTCTTTTTTTTTTTTTGTAATCTATTCAGCCACTATATGTCTTTATATTGGCTAATTTAGTCCATTTACATTTAAAGTAATTGATAGGCATGTACTTATTGCCATTTTGTTTATTGTTTTCTGGCTGTTTTTATAGTTCCTCTCTGTTCCTTTCTTCTTTCTGTCTTCCCTTTGGTTTGCTGGATTTTTTACAGGCCAGTACCTGGATGAACATATATGCAAAAATCCCATGTGGTTTGCTGGATTTTTTTAATATTATGTTTAGATTCCATTCTCATTTTCTTTTCTGTGTGTACTGTAAGGTTTTTCTTTGTGGTTACTGTGGTGTTCACATATAACATTATATGTATATAGCAGTGTCTTCTAAGTTGATAACAACTTAAAATGTAAAGCAAAGCTTTACATTTTTACTCTCCCTCCTGCCACATTTTATATTTTTGATGATGCCTTTTTATTTTATTTTATTTATTTATTTATTTATTTTGCAGTACGCGGGCCCCTCACTGTTGTGGCCTTTCCCGTTGCGGAGCACAGGCTTCAGACGTGCAGGCTCAGCGGCCATGGCACACGGGCCCAGCCGCTCCGCGGCATGTGGGATCTTCCCAGACCGGGTGCGAACCCGTGTTCCCTGCATTGGCAGGCGGACTCTCAACCACTGCGCCACCAGGGAAGCCCTGATGATGCCTTTTGCATATTCTTATTTTATGCTTCCCTTAAGTATTACTGTAATTTGAGTTAACTTTACTACTTTTGTCTTCATACTTGCTTTATAAGTGACTGAGCCACTACCTTTACTATATGTTTTCCACTGAGATTTTTATTTTCATATATTTTCTTATTATTAATTAGTGCCATTTCTTTTTTAGCCTAGAGAAGTCCCTTTAACATTTCTTATAAGGCCAGTTTAGTGGTGATGAAATCCTTTAGCCTTTGCTTATTTGTAAAATTCTTCATCTCTTCTTCAGTTCTGATTGATGATCTTGACTGGTAGAATTGGTAGAGAATTCTTGGTTGGAAAGTTTTTCCTTTCAGCATTTTGAATAGGTCATCCACTTCTTTCTGGCTGATAAAGTTTCTGCTGAAAAATCTGCTGATTTAGGGATTTCCCTTGTACTTAATAGGTAGTGTTTTGGGGGTTTGGGGGGCTTTTTGTTTGTTTTTGCTGCTTTTAAGATTCTTTATCCTTAACTTTTACCATCTTAATTGTAATGTGTCTTGGTATGGTTCTCTCTGGGTTCATCTTACTTGGAACTTTCTGAAATTCTTAGACCCAGAATGTCTGCTTTCTTCCCCAGATTAGGGAAGTTTTCATTCATTATTTCTTCAAAATTTTCTGACCTTTTCTCTCTTTCTCTTTTCCTCTGGGACCTCTATAATGTGAATGCTGTTCTGCTTGATGTTGTTCCAGAAGTCCCTTAAGGTATATTCACTTTTTTAAATTCTTTTTTCATTTTGCAACTGTGTCTGGGTGATTTCTATTTGTTTCATTTTCCAGCTTGCTGATTCGTTCTTCTGCTTCATCAAGTCTTCTGTTGAAACCCTCAAGTGTATTTTTCAGTTCAGTTATAACTTCTATTTAGTACTTTCTTATATTTTCTACCTCTTTGTTTAAGTTCTTGCTGTGTTTATCCAATCTTCTTCTGAGTTCAATGAGCATTTTTATGACCATTGCTTTGAACTCTTTGTTGAGTGAGTTGTTTAGCTCCATTTCATTAATGTCTTTTGTCTTTTTCTTTGGTTTGGAACATATTCCTCTGCCTTCTCATGGTGCATAACTTTCTCTATTTGTCTAAATTCATTAGGTGAAACAGCTACCTCTTCCAGTCTTGTTCTTGTGTAGGAGATAATCCATAGGGCCCAGAAGCACAATCTCCCTGGCCACCAGACCCAGGCACTCACGGGTGTTCTTCACGTGGACTGTGCACACCTACAAGCTGTGGTGGGGCTGCTGCTATGATGTGGGATGTGTGGGATTTGGGGTGCTCACCTGCTGGTTGTAGTGAGCTGTTGCATAGTGTGGACTGGGTTTGAGGCACTTGCTCATCCCAGTTATGGTGCAGCTAGTGTGTGGGGAGGGTGGGGTATCGTGTGTTTGTCCAGCCCAATTGTGGTGTG